ATGATTTGTACAGAAGCCCACAGTGGCAGTTCTTTCTATTATCCGAGCTGATACATCTACATGAACAGTTGGTTACTGTTTTTTTTTCATGAATGTAAAGATGTCTTGTCTTGACCTTATCTACCCATACCTCGTTACTGAGGAAGCTCGTGGGGTTGGGTGTTGTTTTGTGTTGTGGGCGGGTCGTGGGATGGAGACTCCCTCTTCTGTGATGGAGGAGAGCTCATCTTGGACAAAGTATAAATTGATCACACCTGTGGATGTTTGAAAAAAAAAAAAAAAAGCCTGTTCACACGCTGAAGAAGAGCCTTGGCTCGAAACGTTCGTGTGGCAATTAAAATACAAAATTTGGAGTGCTGTCCTTATCGCTGTTCTTGTCTTGACCCATTATTGCGAGGCAGCTAAAACAAAGGTTTTTTCTGTTACTTTAAATAACAGATTGGAATTTAATTCCAGCATGCCAACATGATTTCTATAAATGATAACAAAGGATTTAAGCTGAATGTGTCAGAACAAGTACCATTATTGATAATAAACCAAATATGAGGCAATACATGAGTCACTGCTCTGTTGTGGATTCTCTCAGTCCCTACAGACATGAAGGATTAAATCAGAAGTGATCAAATTCTCTTCAATCTAAAATAATAATTGCAAACACAGTCATCCTCTGCTTCTGCATTAGTGTGTGAATGTGCAGTAAGAAAAAGACAAATGTGGGAGCAGTAAAATGTTCCTGGCTGGTTAGTGAGACTGAATCAACAGAATTGTGCTCATCTGATAATTAAATACTCACTTTTAATTAGCTGGCAATTGCATTAATCCAAAATGTTGCTTCTTTTATATTGCCAGGTTTACATAATGAGGGGGAAAATCTGTGTCTTTCCCTGTGTGCGCATACATGCAAACATTGCCCACATAGAGGGAATGAGTCAACTGAGAGGCAAAGGGATGGATCTGTGCCTGAATGCCCAGCAGGCCTCTGTTCAGTGTCTTAACTCTCTCCAGCAGCTCATAGCTGCCTAAACTTCCTCTTGCAGCTCCTAACACATTTATTTAGAAATGTGGCAGCAGCAGCCTCTTTACCATTCTGCCCTAACTCAGGGTGGAGAAGTATAATTTCCCCATCCATTTACAGCAAGGATATTCTTGAGTGTTTTGAATCAGCCTAAGAGCTTCTGTCTCTCTCTCTCTCTCTCCTCAGCACCCATTTGTATGTAAAGCCTCTTCATGCAGATCCATACTGTGGATTACCTTGGCAGAGAAGCAGCTCACATGAGGCCAACGCTTTAAGTAGTATAGATGCATTTGCATTCGTAGTGCACATCTACAAGAAGTGACCTACTTAAATAAGACGATGCCAATTTTCAAGTGTGAACACATCTTATTTCATGTATGTACAATCATGCAACCATGTAATTACAGGTGCAAACATTTGACAACTCTGATAAATTAAAAGCCCGCTTGTGTGGATTCCCTGCATCACTGAAGTGGTCTGCAGAGTAGGAAGGATTGAAATGGATTCCCGGAGATACTGATTGCTTTATGGCTTTGCAGTCATATTGTATTATACTGCATTGTGCCAAACTCACATTCTAGCAGTCAGCAGGAGGAGTACAAACGGTCCTGAGGATACTGAGGCAGGAGATATTTAGTCACTTGCATTGGACAGACTCAACAATCAATCATCTGACAAGGGTGAGTGTTTTTTTTTCCTCAAACCGCTCGCCAGAAGACAGGACATTGTTTGTGATGAATGGGTTTGGGAGTGTAAGGAAAGAGAGACATCTCCAAGGATAAAACAAGAGCACCATCTGCTGGTTTTGTTTCCCATGACGCTGACACACATGTAATGGGTCTCTCAGAGAGATCTCTGTATGATCAAGCACTTTCAGTTGGAGATATACATCACTCTGGCAGTATTGAAGGAGGCATGAGGTCATGAGGTCCTTCTCCACCAAACAACCAACCCCTCACTGACACATGTGCATAAATCAGTTCGTGTGAATTACAGCAAGACCAGGCCTTTCCTTACCTGAGATTATTTCTTTCCACTTAGCCACACTGAGAGATTCTCAACCTAGATTGTCTGACTTTTGACACTCAGAGTGTTTTTGTTCATTAGGTTTCCATTAAGCATGTTAGTGCATGTAAGGAAACAGCCTTGACACTGGCTCAGTGTCTGTAAAACCTTAGATATCCTAAAAAAAAAGAACAAATCTTTTAATTATTGACGTTTTTTCACAACTACACTTTTGCAAAAATGTTTCACATACTTTTGTTGGAGTTTTCCTTATTATTTTGTCATTTTGAACTTAGGAATGAAAGATTTACCCTGCTATTTAGAGCTTGAAGCTATGCTTTCTTTATAACCACAGTTCCACTGAGCGAAAGCTTGGCAGGTCTTAAAACATACATTTATCCCAAACATATCTAAAAATGAAACACTTCTGCTCCATAGTTCAGTTGCAGAGAGACAAATGGCTGCATGTCAAATCATAACCACAATTACAAAGCAGATGTTTATCTATAACAGAAAAAGGAGTGCATGAGCCATTTGAATAATGAAGATGTATAATAGATGTCCCGGTGTTGAAGACTGATGCTGGGCCAACAGGGTGAGGCGGTTATTTTGAGAACTGAGAACTAACTGCAGAGTGGAGTGACTAACACAAGACATAAAGTCATTTATTTATTTTCATTTTGGTTGAGAGCTAAACATTCTGTGTCTAGTTTGATCAGTCTGTGGCCCTCAAAGATTCTGTTTTTGTGCCATCAGCTGTTGGCTACAATTCTACAATTCACTTTGCAGACGCTTTTATCCAAAGTGACGTACATCAGAGAGTAAGTACAACACAAGCAAGGATCTAGAAAAAAAGGGAACAATGTCAGTAAGAGCAAACGATCAGCTTTGAGTCCGATTGGACACACAGGTGCTGACAGGCATTGCACAGAGGCAAAGCACAACATTGACGGCAGTTCTTGAGAGCTCTAATCAGTATAGAAACCATCTTATAAGTCATCGTTATCAAACAAAAACAATCATCACAACCATCATCATCATCAATAATATTGAGACCATCATCATTAAGTTAGTAGGTATTCATGAAAGAGCTGGCTCTTGTTGATATTGACCTTCGGCCTTAATTTGAAAGCTTTATATTGAGAACCTAGACTATAGTTTGCAAATGTTAATGTCAGAAACCTTAACACAGGCAGAGATTTTTTGTGATGTATTGCCATTGTTCAAGCTGTTATTTTTTTGGGCAAGTCTGTGTAAGCGTTTGTGGAGGGTTGTGAATATGTGGTGGCTTTCTTGTGTCGTTTTAACTTTCTGTTGGAAAGCACTAGAGGGAGCTAATGGATTACTGGGACAGATTGTAATCATTACTCTCACTTGCCCTCTGCCTGTCTGTCATCTGTGGTGACTTTAAACACAAAATAACTGCGACCATGGCAGAGTCTTCTCTGTACCTCAAAGAACAAGGTAAGCATTACCAGCTGGCAGATCCTGACTTAAATAAACAAAGTTCAGCTGAGACCTGGACAGAAGTGACCTGGCTACGATTTCTGCTATACATGGTCATTAAAAAAGATTTCTCCAGGGTTACCATAATCATATGAACACAGAGTATAATGTTATTACTTCATGCAATGCATAGACAGCAATCTTTCAAAGTGGGGGGGTATATCATCTGGGACGTGCCTACATATCCTACATAATTACAAGAAATATTTACAATGTTTTAATTTGATTATGTTTTGGTTATACTGTATATGTGTGTTTTACATGCCGTAGTGTTGTGTGTGTGGTTTTGTGTTTTCTCTCCTTCCCTCTCTCTCCTGTGTGTGCTCCCCAGGTGTTGCTCCTCAACCTGAGTGTGCCCGGCCATACCTGTGGCGACTTAAAAATCAGCAGCCAAACTATAAAGAGCAGGAGAGGAGGTGGCCTGTGGGTCGTTGGACTGTGTGTGTCCGAAATGTGTTTAAGATAGATTGGCTTCTCTTTTATTTGGTGTTTTAGAAGAAGCTTGTTTTGTGTTGCCCATTTTGCTGTAGTTTGTTAATAAATCCCTTTTAACTTTGCTTATATTTAGTTCCTATTTATTGTCCGTGGGTTTTAATTTATTGTTACTCCCCTCATCCCCTAGCCATCTTGGGGAACGTAACAGTGTGTCACGGTGTCATATGGGTATTTTGCATGTTTTCGTTGCTCATGCACTAGTTATTTGATTAGTTATGATGCCATCATTTTAGGTTTTCAGTTTCTGCTGCCGCAGACAGTTTTTTGCTTGTTGCATTTAGCAAAAATAGACACTGTTATTTTTTTTCATTCATCATAAATGACCTTTTCATTTTCATTCTGCAAAACAAAGAGAATGACAATATGACACATGTAATTACACATGATCTTATTGCTGCTTATTATCTCATTGTGTTCTTGTTTGTCTTTTGTTCTAATATGGTTTGCTGTTTCAAAGAGTTACAGCTTTGTCAGTACATATGGAAAGAACATCATTGAAACAAAAGAGTGAGAGCTGATGTCAGAGAGGTGATTTCATGGTCTGTGGCTCTGCATCACGAGAGTCTATCAAGACGCAAGGCATGGAAAAGGAAAGAAATATTCAGAAACCAGTAGGAAGAACGATAAGAAAAAATAACTAACTGATACATTATTATCATTAATAGTACTGTTTTCATTGTTGTTCTTCTTATTAGGCTATTATTATCATTAATGTTATTAGTGGAACTAGAAGAACAAGTAGCTGTGGTAGTGTTTAAGGTCATTATTAGTAGCATATTGAAAGCAGTTGTAGTTTAGTAGTAGTGATATTATTTGGGGCTGTGAAAGTTGGTGTCCCTGGTGCAACCATAGGTGCAACACTCCTTGCCAGCCAAGAGTTCAGCAGGGGTGTGGGAGGGGTTAAAGATTTAGGAAGCTCTCCACCCACCCTATCTCTCCTCTCTTACCTTCCTTCCGCCCTCCCCCTCCCACCTAGGCTCGCTCCCTCTTTCTCTACCCTCTCTCAAAAGTCTCACACACTACTCTCTCGCTCAGTGTCAGGCTCTGTTGTGGGTCCAGGTTGCGTGGACTCACGGCGAAAACTTGTGGCGAAGATGCGGGCGCTCGGGGCCGTGGGAGTCGGGGTACTGTGGGCACTGCTTGGCGCTCTGGTGCCCGGCGGTGCGTCGGAGCTGGTGACGCTGGTGCAGGAGCTGGTCAAGCCAGAATCTGTCCTGCTGAAGCCAAAGGTTATGATCGCCATTCTGGCTCGAAACGCTGCGCATAGCCTGCCGCATCACCTGGGCTGCATAGAGAGGCTGGACTACCCAAAGGAGCGCATAGCGATCTGGTAAGAGACACACGGTTAGGGATGAAAAAGGATGAGGTTTGTATTTTTGGCTCTACGAGACTCAATAATAAGATACATTTAAAACACTATTGTACAAAGATGTATCCCAGTATAACACGTAGGCTATAAAGAGAGTGTTACCGGACAGTTATTCTAAAGTTTAGAAATTTCACTTTCAGTGCGTAATCTGAAGTGGACAATGATGTGCCCTGGAGCGTGTTGTGGTCTAAAGAAAAGCAGCGTGTGTCCGCGCTAATTATAATAACACATAGTCAGAATCTGCACACAGACCTGTTGCTGCGTTTTACGATGCACTTACCTCGCGTGTCTGCCGGCGTCCAAATTGCACGCTGTGGGAGAAGATGAAAGAGCCTCTGTGCATGTTGGTTTAGGCTTCACCCTTAATCATGGATCCCTTCGTCTGATTCAGCACAAAGCTGCGAAAACTGGGCTTTAAAACAGCAGGGCAGGCAGGTATGAAAGGGTCTCAAACTCAGGTTGGGTCCCGTAGTGTGTTTGGGTCTCATACTGCGATAATATGAAGCTATCAAAGAGGGAGTCTGCAGGTGGGGGGGATGAAAGGAGACATTGAGTTGGTCTGACAGCAGGCCTGGGGGGTGTTGGAGTTCTGGAAAGTCATGCGTAAAAAGTGTGTGCTTGCGTTTTGTGTGTCTGCAGAGTTTTGATAGAATCACTCGCAAGCTGAGAGATGTGTGACTACAGGCAGGTTGGTAATCAGAGTTCAGATTTGAAGAATGTTAGATGGAGGGAATAAATATCACATGCAGATCATAGATCTGTTACCCAGAGCTCCTTTAGTTGTTTACCCAGGCTGGCATTCTTCTTCTGTTTTGTTTTCCACCTTTCTCTTTGCTGAGTATCTTGCTTTTGTTTACAGAGTGACTGTCTGTTTCCAATTCAGAGACCCTCACCAAAACACTCACAAATGCACGCCAGACAAACTCTTATCTGCGGAGAGGGGCCCTTCTCTCTGAAACAAAGTGCCTAAGTGGATGAGCTAACACGGCTTTGTGAGCGTTTTAACTAACAGGAGAGAGGGCCGAATCAGATATGAGCAGCATCTCCCCACCTCTAAAAACAGTTCAGCCAGGGGGGAAAAAGTCAATGTCTGTATTTGAGGCCTATCAAACCTAAGTGTCACACAGGTTTGGGGTTATACAGCAAAGTTTCACTGAAAAGACAATTGAAGGAGAAGCACAGAATGGCCTATAGTCTTCAGCCTTTAATAGTGTTGTAGTCAAGACCAAACTAACCGAGACCAAGACATACTAGAGACCACGTGCTGCGAGACCAAGTAAAGACCAAGACATTTAGGGAACTGATTTTGCTGATTTTCTTTGACTGACCTGTCTTGAGACCGCTCTTGACACCAAGACTGAATTTGAGTACTACAACACTATTATAAAATCATATAAAACACGATTGTTTTATTCAGGCAAGAGATTTTTTTTCATATTTGCCACAGCTCTACATTGTTTTTTGAAACTATCTGGGCCTTTCTCTGATGTTAATAACAAATTTCATGATGATGCACCTCCCTTTGAATCCAGTACTGTAAGAAGTTAACACGTACTGTATAAGCCTACTTAGGAAATGGAGAAGGATGGTGCAGGCAGCACGAGCGCTGTCCAGTTGGGAACAGTGAAACTACATTCTTCTTGTAAGTGTGATTTTAAATGTTTAAAACTTAGTTGGACTTTTGCTGCCAAATTGGTTAACTTAATGACACATTATGTACCACATAACTCGTGAAGCTCTGCGCCTATTTGTTTCTCTTTGTCTTCATTATTTCTATCCAACATGTAAGCTACGAGAGCCCAATAAATGCTAAATCACAATGCAGCTCTCACCACCAACAAGGCATTTATCCACATTATAGCATTTTACAGTGTGCTGCAGACCACTTAATCACTGTTAAAATGTCAGGACAACTACAAAATACCAACAACCACTGACAAGTAGTAAAGCATATACAATTTCTTAACTACTTATAGATCCCCTTCATATTCCGGCAAATGATTTGAGCTTTTTTATAAAGGAATTTTTGCATTTATTTGAGAGCACAGAAAAGCTTTGGAGAAGCAAAGAGAGGGGGTTGATGTGAGACAAGGGTCTCCATCTGGACTCAAGCCAAGGACTTTGTGGTTACATGATACACATCTTCCTCAAAGCAGCCAGGTTTCTCTACTTTACTGCCATCCACAGCTCGTCTGAATAGATCATACACACACTGATGTAAAGAACTTGAGGAAACAATCAGGAAGACATTATATCAAGAGCGTCTGGTCGTAAAGCTCCAGTTTGTGTGTGGGGACAAAATGTTCTTCACTAAAGAAGTTCCTCTCAAGAACCACAGGTTGAGCAAAACAGAGGATTGTTTTTCCTATTCATCTCCTCTCTACTCATTTAAACTATTGCAATTCAAGAGACATAGCAAGAAGAAGCGGAGAAGAAGGATAAAGATGATTTAACATAATAATAAGGGTGTTTTCTTTATCGTGTAGCAGCAGCAGTGGGAACCCAGCTCCTCTTTCAACCCCACCCACTGGATCATGGAAACTTGTGTTAACATGTGGTTCTCCAGCATCTTTTAGAATGAGCATGTATATGGCAGCATAAGACAACATTTGAAACATAGGGAAAGCCTATTGGGATGAAGCTGTGGGAGATTTGTTCAGTTAGAAAAGTCTACTTAACCGTTTTCACATATGTTCTCCTGAAAATTTCAGGGGCAGGCTGGAGATGAGGTACAAAACAACAATGCTTATATAGAGTCCAACGCTTTGAGACAGTTTTTGCCTTGATATCAATGCTACGTTTAGTTCACTTTATTCACCTATCTACAAATGAGTAGAGGAGAACATACATTACGTACAAACATAATGAAGCAGTTTCATTACTTGCATGGAGATCAAATTGGCTGCGCTTGTCACAGGATATTAGTGTCATCAACCCTGCCCGCTTAATCGTAGTTAACTTTCTGGACTTAATGCAGAAAATGTATCAAGGGACTGGCAGAAAAATTCTGGGCTAAGTTGGGGTGAAAAACTTTGCGTTCCCAAATGCAGCTCACCCAGAAAATGTCGGGAAACCACACGTGTTGTGTTTGTTATGTTCCAATGAAGGAACATTACACAAGAACTAGGGACTTTCAAAAGTACTCTGTTTGTTTACATCACAAAGACCAGGGTCTTAATAGTAATAAAATACCGGAGAGATTGTTTTGCCATCCTCAAAGGTCCCTGTAGTTTCGCAAAAAAGTATCACTGGCGCAGGGACCTTTGAGGGTGGGCCTTGTTTTGCTGAACATTTCTGATTGGTGGAGCAATTGCAGCACTCAGAAGTCCAGCAGAGCAGCCACTCATTGACCGTCTGGATGTGTTGCCAACCAATGCTTAGATACTTGCAAAACTTTGAATAACTAGTGTCTGTCAGTTTCAGTATTTTATACGAAAAAGCTCTTTTTTTAATTTGGGAGTGCCTGGGATAAGAAATAGTCTTCATGCTGACTTGCAAGAGATGAAATAAGTTAAATCAATAGACATCTGCAGCTGTGAAAACAATAATTGAGTAAAAAGATACATAGGTGAAACTTATGTGATCCTTGTGTAAATTAGGTGCTTTTACGTGTTAGCAGACTAATTTGCCTAATTGTTAAAGTTATTTGTGCTTGTTGGAGATATAAACGAAATATTATGTCAGACAAAAAATAAAGACATCAAATGCAACCCATTTTCACACTACACATTGATCCAGGGCAGTTCATTGAAAATATGCATTCAAGGATTGCAGACACTGAATGTGTTTTTACAAAGCCACATGTGTTGATCCAATAGCAATTCATTTCTATGCTGTTATAGCATTCCTTAAAAACATACAAATAAAATGTAAAACCTTCGCGGGAGCAGTTGTGGTTGTTTGTCATGAGGACAACAGTCTTTAAAAGTTTAAACAGCTAAACAAGCAGCCAGATGACAAAAAAATCCCCCAAATCTTGACAGGCTTTGGCCCGTGTGAGGATGCTGGGAGCAACAAAGATTCCAGTGTGAGCCTGTTTTCAGGGTAATCTGCATTTAGAGGTCATGTCCCCTCCGCCCTGTTACTTCAGCCCTGACTCACACTGACAGTTGGGATGGTCAGTGAAATCTGCCCTTAGAAGTTTTTCCCTCTGCAAGTGGGCGCAAGTCTGACAGAGAAGTGGCAGAGCAGTGAAAAGGACTAACACACTGCTGTTAAAGAATGAAAGAATGCAGGGTATTCTAGAAAGAGGGGGCTTAAAAGGGTTGGCAAATTACCCAGAGGGCATTGAGCAGGTTGGTTAATCCACATTCCCACAGTAGCTTGACCACAAGTAATCCAGGAAAACAGTGAAATGTGAGGCTTGACGAGGCAGTTCATTATGTTTACAGAGAAGGGTGATATTCTGGACACTGAAAGTTCTGGTACTCAGTTTTCAAAACAAATATTAGCCAAACTCATTGTGACTGAGCTTTGCAGTAGGTCAAAATAGCTGCTTCAAGTAAGGAAAATGTGTCATATCTGTTGCAATAGCAGGAAAACATTAGGCTAAAGATATGTGTCAGTTCTCTTCACACTCTGTTTAGGTGACAGGTGAGATTTACGCCGCCTCTGAGGGCACTGTGAAACTGAGGTCAGCATGAAGGCTGAGTGCTTAGTAATGCTTAGCCTGCAGCCAGATGGTCCTATGCTCCTGACGTTGGACCTGACTTGACCTGACTGGCTGGGTTTTGATTTGTTGTTATGTCCAGGTGTTCTGCTCAACTCAAAGCAAATCAAGTGACTTGGAGTTGCCTCTTAGTCTTGATGTGCATTTGAATGCTTTTTGTCTGTCCCGTTGTGTTTGAAGCTAGAGCTAGCAACAACGCAAACAACTTCTCCAAAGGTAAAATAATTTGCCTCCTGACAATGCTAAAGGTAGCTAATGGACCACATCCACGTGACAGACAATTCTCTTTTGT